AAGGTTCTTTGTGCATGGCATAACAGCAACCTAAAGCAGATTTTTTATGATTACAATAATTCCTGTCAATAGGCGCGGTAAGTAAAGGCATCTGTCTTAAATCGTAAAACAAAAATAACACCTTTCATTTTATTCCATAGAATATTGGATTTGAGCATTACTTTCGAACAAATATCATCGCTGCATTACGGTACTCCCGGTCACGGCCGCTCGTGTGTAATACTTGACGGCGAACTGGGCCGTAGCAGACATAGGAAGATGAAAATCCAATCCTCTTGCAAAACAAGTCTAATAAATGCCTAATACAGCGATGCCAATATTAAGAAGGACCTAAAAGCCACGATCTAGATACTGAATACCCGGCAGATGACCGTAGACTTGATTGAAAATATACGGGCTGAATACCCGCGCGACTGTGAGTCCACCAAATCGGCGCGGCAAAGCCCAAAACTACGGTACCCAAATTTAACAAAAAACACGATCTAGGTCATCCCTCTGGAATTTTGCCGGGTGACAAAGGGGAGCCCCTCAGGCCGACTGGTGAAATTTGCGATAGGTCCTCCATATACGGAGGGCCTATCGACTCTAAAAAGCCAATAAGTGGAGGACCTAACCATCGGAATCTGTATATATATATATATATATAACAAAAATAGGAATATATATATATATATATATAGGTGAAAAAATTAAAGCTTCCGCCTTTTGTTGGGTACTTCGACAAAATTTAAGCAAATATTAAAATTAAAAAAATTTATACTTTTTTAATTCTCTCTAGCTTTCAATGGACTTTGCCATCATCATCAGGAGAGTAGTATGTGAGGATGTTGCTAATTGTTGTTTACGTATAGGATGAGGGAAACGTCCAGTAACATGGTGAGAGCTGGATAGATGGTACAATGCTCAAAATTATATAAAATATGACAAGAACAAGTTAAAAACAGTTATTTAAAATTATTAAAGCATTACATCGTGAAGCCACTTGATGATTGCACCTGCGAAACCACCATCATACATAAATCCAGAACTTGGACAACATTAAAAGAAGAAATTGAAAAAGATTTAGTGCAGATAACAATTATTAACTATTAAGTATAAAAAAACTACTTTATCTCCTTAACCTCTTATATAAATAAATTACCGCTATATAATCAGCTAAATATAAAGTAAACAAATCTCCAAAATGAATATATATCACGTAAACTAAATCATAAATATCTCGGAATTGTTTTAGACGCACATATCCAATACATTCAGAAGAAACTTAGACCACAATTCCCCCCTACTGAGCGAGAGCCGTGGCAAATGCTTGTTCCGGAAGTTGTTGTATCCAGTATACAACTTCTTCCCGTCCAAGTGATTGTGCACGCGTTAAGGAATACCTCAGTACCGATTGCCGGGTGGCGGTACAAGTACGCCAACGGGCCTCTTTAGGTCTATTTAACATCACTATCACGTAAAAAGAAGGTGGTAGACAAGGACCAGTCGACCGAGCCAGTACCACCCGCTAGCTTTTCCCAGGGTGTCTTATAAATGTCCGCATGTTTCCACACCTAAGCTATGCAGTCGGTTATCTACCAAAACAAAGAAATTCATGATGATGGATCCCTCGAGCACTAAAAACTCCGGACGTAAACTCACTCCACTCTCGGAATGTCCGGGTGGAGGGTGGGCTCGAGGGAACAACATCGAAGATAAAATTTGTTTTTCGAACATCTGCGCGATTAACAGCAACATTGATGCTGTTCATCACTACCTGCAATCCAATCGTCCCGCCGTGCTTTTCTTGGCGGAGACAAAAATCTCAGAGACTGCACCGATTAACCATCTCAACTTCCCAAACTACGAGGTGCACTCCAATCTGAGAAAGAACGGGGGAGTTGTGGCTTTTGTCCGCAGCAGTCTTTCCTGCTCCAGGGATCTTTCTTTGGAATCAGACCGGAAGGACATTCTGTGGCTTCGCCTGAACTCCAAAACATCACCCAAATTTATTTGCTGCCTTTATCGCTCTCCCTCGAACCATAACTGGGATGACCTACTCGAATACCTCGCCGTCCAAATCGACTTCTCGGTGATTTCAATGCCCATAATGAGCTTTGGTTGGGCTCAAATAAGACCGATGCAGCAGGTCGTGCAGTCGAAGCGTTCGCTCTTACTCAAGGGCTGACCCAGCTGGTGACGAGCCCTACTTTTTATCCCTCGCGTCTCGTCACACGCCAGTAGCCTGCTGGACCTCTTTCTGACCACGCATCCTGCCCCTTACAGCACTGCTGTCCTGTCCCCCTTGGGTAACTCAGATCACGGTGTTGTGGAGGTTAGGTTTCGGTCAGAAGCCGCTGTCGCAGCAGAAACTCGCACAGGCCGCAAAACTTGGCATTACGGACATGTCGACTGGGAGGGGCTCAGAGACTTCTTCTCTAGCCTTCCTTGGAGAGATGTCTGTTTCACTGACGCGGATGCGTCGACTGTCTGTTCTTCAATAACCGAAATTATCCACGTCGGAATGAAGGAATACATCCCTCACACAGTGAAAGTTCCTAAACCAGGGTCCAACAAATCGTGTGACACTGCTCGCTAGCAGAAGATCAAGGCCCACAGAACCTACTTACAAAACCCCACTGTAGAGAACAGACAAGCCGACGTCGAGTCCAGAAACAAATATAACGAAGCGGTTCGAAATGCCAAAAACCAGCATGATATAAAAGTTAGACACAGGGTAATGTCGCAGCGCAATGGCAGTCGGTCTTTCTGGACGCTGGCCAAGCAGATTGAAAAGAACTTCTCACACAGTAGCCTTCCACCACTTATGTATCAGGATGGAACTATTGTATTCGGCCAAGGCGGAAGTGCTAGCCAAGATCTTTGCTGCCAACTCCACCATGGACGTCCCCACCAACGCCCCATTGCCGTCAATTCAAAGGGTTCCCCACGCTATGCGGGAGGTAACATTCAGGCATAAGACCGTAAGACGAGTGCTCTTGTCGCTCGACATCAACAAAGCTTCTGGTCCGGACTTGATTCCTGCCATTGTACTGAAGAGATGTGCAGCGGAGCATGCTCCAGTTCTTTCGCGTCTCTTCCAGACACCTTATGAATCCGGCACCTTCCCAGAAAACTGGAAATTTGCTCATGTCCAACTCATCCCAAAAAAAGGATCTAAGACCGACCCTTACAACTACAGGCCTATAGCTCTGCTTTCTGTTATAAATAAGGTGATGGAGAGGTGCATAAATCGCGAGCTTCTGGACTACCTCGAACGTCACAGCTTGATTAGCGACAGGCAGTACGGTTTCCGGCACCAACGATCCACAGGGGACCTCCTAGCTTACGTCACGCAACTGTGGAGTAAACTCATCCAGTCTCATGGTGAGGCTCATGTCGTTGCTCTTGACATCACGAAAGCGTTCGATCTGCTGTGGCACGCTGCCCTCTTAAGCAAACTTCCATCCTACGGCCTCCCAGAAAAGCTTTGCAGATGGGTGGCTGACTTTATCTCTGGTCGCAAGATATCCGTCGTAATTGACGGATTCTCCTCTTCATCCCACAACGTCAACGCGGGTGTTCCCCAGGGATCGGTCTTGGCTCCAACACTGTTTCTCTTACATATCAACGACCTCCTTTCCTGCACGATCAACCCAATCCACAGCTTCGCTGATGACAGCACTCTACATGCAGGAATTCAGAGTGACAAGCCGGTCTCTGCCGCTGAGCTGGAAAAAAGAAGACTAGCGACGACTTCTTCTCTGACAAGAGACCTGGAGGCTATCACTGCTTGGGGACGCAACAATCTTGTACAGTTCAATGCTTCCAAAACACAGTACTGTACTGATACAGTTTCGATGGACGGTCGAGTTCTACCAAAGAGCCATTCATTTCGGCTGGTCGGAGTCCAGATCACCGAGGACCTGATCTGGCACGAACACATCTCTTCAATAGCTGCAGATGCTGGGAAAAAGCTAGGCTTTTTATTTAGGGTTAAGAAGTACTTTTCTCCGCATGACCTTCTCACTCTATACAAGGCCCAGATAAGGCCTAGCCTCGAGTATTGCTCACACATTTGGGGTGCTGCCGCCCCGACTACATTGTCCATGCTGGATGCTGCCCAGAGGAGGGCGGTCCGACTGATCGATGATTCTTCTCTAACAGACAGTCTCGGGACTCTTTCGCACCGGCGGGCCGTCGGCGGTCTAGCTCTTTTCTATCGCTACACCAACGGGCTTTGCTCCTCAGAGCTCTCTTCCATGATGCCGCCGCGCGGTGTGCCTGCCAGACAGACCCGCCTGACTTCGGCGTCCCATCCTAACTGTGTCAAACTTCGTACATCCAGAACTGGCCGATACGACCGCTCCTTTGTCCCGAGGGTGTCTAGATTGTGGAACAATCTACGGGAGGAAGCTTTTCCCAGTTCTACTAACCTTAGGCAGTTCAAAAATCGTATTAACAAAATTTCTTTGGGATCATCATAGCAGCCGCGGTGTTCTGGCATTTAGGCTTCTGCCTGCGCGGCTGTTTCGATATAAAAAAAAACAAAAGAAATAATGTTGAAATCTTCTAGAGACGTAATTCCAAAATTATAACATCCTAAAATATATTAGAAAAAAAACAAATATCATTATTAAAAATAGATTTATACGAGTGGTTATTGAAAACTGATATAAACATGACGACTAACATATAAATATCTTTTCTTCATTGCTAATCTCCGATCCAAAATTAATGTACATATTACATTCATATTATATAAATTTTTTTAGTCCTATCAGTTTATTGTAACTGCTATGTTATATGTATATTGTGTTAGCACTATAACCACCTACAAGGATATTCTCCTTTTGTGGCGTATCAATTTGCTCACAATTTGTAATTGACGTGAATAAATTATTATTATTATTAGAAATGTCTACCGTGACATAAAAACAGTGATGGAATGAATATGTTGTTATATTCACCAACTGCAACATTGCAACAACAAGATGCGTACAGTATGAAGTGTTCCTTACCTGACATAAGACAGACTGAATCTGATTGGTAACTGGAAATCTAACTGTATAGTAGCACATTGATGTGACCGCTTCAAAGCGTCTTGGATCGTAATATCGATTTTTGGGCCATAGAATGCACCATCACCAGGGTTTAGCCTCCAGGGTTGTCCGAACGCGTCCAAGCTTTCTTTAAGTGCCTAAAAAGTGACAGAACATTTCACCTATGTAAGTGAAAGGTGTGAGGGATAAATGCATAGTCTGTTTTACTTCCTAGACCTACTGGCGAGAAAATATTGCAAATTATTGTAACTAATGGTTGACATACCTCTTCGGCACTATCCCAGATAGCAATATCTCCCATGTACTTCTCAGGTCTGGTGGATAAACAAAGATCGAATTTAAAACCAAATACGCCATACACTCGTTTTAAAAAGTCCAGGCAGCCTGCCATCTCTTGTTTGACCTAAAAAAGAAAATAGCCAAAATTGGTATAAGCTAATTTAAGCCAATGGAGGATTACCAGTCAAATTCGTAGAAAACGTCTAGGTGCAAGACATTATTTAAAAATGCTCACGGTAACATTGGATAGCAACGAAGATTAATTCCTTTGCTGTATATTATCCTTGGCTTGTAAAGAAGCTCGGATAGTCTATACGCCGCGAAAGCCACATCAAGTGGTATTGCGCAAAGTATGAGAGTAATCGTATTTGATTTTTAGTAACTTCCTCGGGTATCAACTCTGGAGCAGTGTCATAGTCTATCGGCGCACGCTGGGCAAACAAAAAAATGGCTGACGTCACAGACCTCAAAGTAAGCATGGGTGGCCAACTTAGAATGCGAGGTACTGTACCTGAGAACCTATCCATCGTACAGGCTTGCAGCAAAAACAGTTATTACTAAAACGGCCATGAGCAAAACCTGGAAAATATTTTCAAGTTTCTAAAACTGCAATCTGAAATCTACAAAAGTGATGTTTCTGTGAACTCTGCTATATTAACCTAATATGAAAAATAACTGACCTTTACATTCGAGAATAATCTGAACCTTTTTGTTTGACAGTTTTTGCTGTATCTCTTAAAATAAAGTGGTGGGGGGTATTCAAAGGTTTCCGTAAAAAACACCCTATATCTTAGAAACGGTTGAGCCGATTTTAACAAACTTGGGCTAGTTGAAAAGAGCTATTTTTGGGCTAAAAATAATGTTATAATATTTGAAGCTTTGTAAGTTTCACATGTGGCCGCTAGAGGATGTTTTTTGACATTCCGACAGAAATGCATTGGTATGATTTTTTTTATGAAAAAGTTGCTAAAAAAGCTGGCGAAAACCGCATCTCGCTATCTTGTTCCTAACTTAAAATTTCGGCCAAAGAGAATTTTATAAGGAAATCCCTTAAATTTTTATTTTTTTTAAACTCATGGTCTGGAATTCTTTTTTATTCATCCGAATAAAATCACCCTTTTTGAAAATATTACAAAATATAGCTAAAAGCTATAATGCTAACAAGAGGCATATTTTTTGTTTAAATTCACTATGGGTATAAAGGAAAAAAAACAATTAATAGAAGCAGACCATGGAGTACAACAAAACAAAACCTAATATGTACTCAATTGATAATAGTTTTCAATAGTTTCGCGTTACTTTGAGCAATTTTTGTGCTTAATAAATATCTTTTATGAACGATGAAGCTGTTGATATGCTTGCAGCAAAAAGAGTTTACCCGACTCGATATCCAAAACGACGTCTTTGAGATGTGAGGGTTTTTCCCCAATTAGTGGCGAGTTTACGAGTAGTTTTCGGCCTACGTTTCATGGCAAAGAATTGAAAGAACACAAGAAAATAATAACTGCGTACTCGGATATATTGAAGAAAATCCTCACGTTAGCACAAGGGCATTATCCCTCGAGTTGGGCGTATCACGAACAACGGTCCACATATTTTGAAAGACCGTAAGTTCTAATGGCCATCAAAATATAGGGATTTGTTTAAATTTAACTTTTTCAATTACTTGTCGTTTTGCATCACGCCTTGAAAGAGGAAGACTTTGATCAGAGGTTGGACTATTGCCATTGGATGTTAGATATGATACGCGAAAATAGAGAAATTTTATTTCAAATTCTTTGGACTGATGAAGACCTTTAATAGTGCACAATATGCATTATTGGTCTGCAGAAAATCCGCATTGGTTGTGTGAAGTTCAGCATGAAGAGCGTTGGAGTTTAAATGTGAGATGTCGCGTACAGGGAGGCAGAATTATTGGGCCATATTTTTGGAGCAATCCCTAAATGGCAATGTCTTCTTGACTTTTTGAACAATCAATAATCGTTGTTATTGCAAGATGTGCCACTGGAAACACGGCAAAACTTGTTTTTGCAGTTGGATGGTTGCCCAGCAGATTTTGCTATTATTGTGTATATTAATCCAGTATTTCATTAGCGGTGGATTGTAAGAGGAAGTCTGTTTCCATGGCCTTCGCGATCTCCAGACTGTATTGATTTTTATTTATGGGGACGGTTAAAGGACAAGGAAAAACCGGATTCGTAACATACCGAGAGCCGAAATTGAAGCTGCAGTTGTTTTGTTTATCCAAGAGAGGCTTCAGGAATGCACAGAATGTGATGGGCAGCATTTACGGGGGTATTAAAAGCCTTTCTTTTTTGAAGTGGTCCTTTCAGCGGCCACAACTTGATAAAAAAAATCTAGAAGGATTAGTTTAAAAAAAATAGGGATTTCCGTATAAAATTTTGTTTGGCCGAAATGTTAGATTAGGGACAATATATCGAGATGCGGTTTTCGCGGGCTTGCTTAGCCATCCTTCAGCTACTTTTAAGAAGGAAGATCAAACCAATGCATTTAATTTTTTGAGAAAATTAATCATTTCTGTCGGAATGTCGAAAAAAGCCCTCTATCGGCCACATGTGAAACTGACAAAACTTCAAATATTATAAAATTTGTAGCCCAATAACAGGTCTTTTCAACTGGCCCAAGGTTGTTAAAATCGAAGATACAGGGTGTTTTTACGGAAACCTATGAATACCCCCACCACTTTATTGTTAGAGATACGGCAAAAATTGTCAACAAAAAAAGTTCACATTATCCTCGACTTTTGAGATCAGGTATTTTTTTGTTAGATTAATATAGCGGAACTCACAGTAACATTACTTTTTTAGATTCAAGATTGCAGTTACTCCCCCTAGCGGCCATTTCAGAAACTAGAAAGTATTTTCCAGGTTCTTCTCTTGGCGGTTTAGCAATAGCTGTTTTTGCTGCAAACCTCTACGATGGATAGGTTCCCAGATACACTATGTCGCATCCTTAGTTGACCACCCCATACAGCCATGGATTTAACATCAATAAAATTTTAAACAATAGACCTCGAGTGTAACTAAAGAGATCTATGGCTACGATTGTTCCGAATCTACAAATTGTGCACATAAAGAAAGACCTAAAGACTAAATGAATATTGCCCAACCCCTACTTGAAAGCTAAAAGTGGCCCCCTAATATGTTGCGAGTGACCTACAAGAATCCTCCAAATCATCGTCCATGGCATATCCGTGTCTCTGGAGGGAAGGGGGTGCAATGAGTGTGATTGATCATAAACGTGTTGGGTTAATAAGGTTCCTGAAGATAGCTTTTTCCATACGGCTGGGATGAGGAAACATTGTAATCGCGAAAAATTTCGAAAAATAAGATATGTTTTGTGGATGTTATGTCACATTTAGATCACAAAAAACCATGTCACTCATTTTCACGATTTCTTGACAATGTCCAAAGATGACACATTTCAATGGAGGTTGGCTTACTTAACTGACATATTTGACTCCTTGAATGAACTTAACACTATAATAAGCAATATGATTATATTCAGGGGTTCATATCAAAGCTTCAACTTTGGAATCAAAAAGTGTCTTGTGAAAATGGTATATCTTTTTCTCGGCTGTTCGAAGCAAAATAACATACTGGACGCAAATTTAAAAGCTGACATAAAAACTCATTTGCAAGCGGTGGAAGACGAATTTCGCCGATACTATCGAGACATCAATTCAGAGTCACCAATATGGCACATGACAAGAAATCCATTTGTTGTCGATGTGTCACAATTACCAGAAGAAGTTCAGGAAGAATTTCTAGAAATTTAGGCTGATTCGTCGTCCATGAAAGATGACTTCCATCTTTTAACATCGAAGAAATTTTGGATCAAAAGATTGCCTGTTAATTCGACACTTGCCTCTCTTGCTTTACGAATACTTGTTACTTTTTCTTCAACTTACCTAGTTTTAATTAAAACTAAACAGCGAAATCATCTTGATAGTCCAGTTAAATAGCCGAAACTGAGACAAAAGTGATAACATAGCCACAAAGTTATTTCCGCAGGCGTAATGGTGTAATAAAGGATTGCGAATATTGTTGTATGAATTTGGTTTTCCGGACAGCGAAAAACCCGAAAAACCTCTTTTTCGCTGAAACGGCTGAGGATATCTGGAATTTTTTTACACGTAAATTTTTCTAATTTTTGGGCCATCAATAAAGGTCTCTACAAATTTTTCGCTAAATTGCTTAGTTTTCGCGCTACAGCTTGCTGATGGCTTGTGGGCGAGGGGGTTTGCGGGGACAGAGGCGGCGTACCTGCTTACCAACCAAGCTGCCGCCGCACCGCCTACGCGTTGACGACGCAGACGATCACTTACTATATGGTAGGGGTTAGGGGTTATTCAGTAATAGTAGTTGAATTTCGAACCCTGAGCTCGCTTGTCAGTTTGGCGTTTACCGACTTTTACGAAAGAACTAATTTTCGAAGTTTATGCGTTTAAGTATGTGGAGTAATTTCTCTTCAATTGCTTGTCGATTGACTGGATAAGTGAGGTAAGTATGTGTACATTTTAGAATTGAAATTAAATATTTTTTTCCGTAATTTCATTGGAGACAAGGAATTAAGGACAAAGCCAACCTAAAATTCGAAAAGTTATCCTCCATGGATTTTTTAACGAAATTTGTTTTCATTTTCCAATGTTAGTATAGTATTTTTTAATAATAAGTAGTGCAGTCCAAATTCAGTATATGTTGTCCAAAATTCAGCATGTCTTGGAATTCCATTAGCACTATGTTCTGATATTAATAACAAAAATCAGACAAATTAGACTGACTGGATCGAAAATTGCATTACACTTACTGGATAGCGGTTCTCACTGAAATTGTTTCTGTTATCCAATAGGAATAAAATGCAGCAAAATAGTAACTGCGCCATTTGCAGTTATCCGTTGGCGCGCGGCAATTGCAGGATCGTGGGGAAGAAGGGAATTAGTACACTGATCACACAGAGCAAACGCGTGGAAGACAAAAAATGGTTGGATTGGGAAAAAAAGGAAAAACTGGACTGTCATGAGAAGTGTAGACTTTCATACTCGGTCAGTGGAACGTATACTCAGCATTTTGCGTTGAATGCACCAAATAACAGTGTCGTAGCTGCAAGGGATGAGGTTCCTGATTTCCATTACGCGGATAATTGCTTCATTTGTGGTTTGAGTATAATAAAAGATGCGAAAACAAAAATCTGTACAGTCACACAAAAAGAGACGCGTGATAACTTGGTTGCAATGGGAAAGGAAAGAAATGACTCTTTGGGAATTAGCGTTGTTGAAATATTAGAGAACATTTCTTGCTTAATTCGCGTACAAGGCAGATACCACCGGACATGCATGTCTCATTTCAATGCGTATGGTTTAAACAAAAATATCGAAGATCTAAACTGGTCTAGAATCGATCCATTGTTAGAACCTGTGTGGCAAGTTCTTGAAGAGGACAAAAATGTTATTCATTATTTGTCGAAGTTAGTAGAACTTGTGGATGATGACTCTATAGATAGAAGGACTGTAGCAGATCACATTAAAAAACGTTACGGTGAGGAAGTTGAGTGCAGTATAATGGGGGGAAAAGATATACGTATATGTTACGTGTATGCTTCAAAAGTCATCATGTTTTTAATGTGTCAGCAGACCCATCAAGTTTCACAGAAGGGCAGATACAAGTTATTTTGCTTCAGGCCTCAAATATAATGCACAGAGATTCGTAGCAAGCAATTTGTAAGCGATAAGTACCCACCGTCCAATCAATTTGTGAGCGATCTTTCCTCCGATTATCCACCCCACTTTTCGTTCTTTATTGAGCACTTTCTCCTTATCGCTGACGAAGAGGAAGATAAAAAAGCAAAGTCTGTGAAGCGAGACATGATATCTCAATGCATACTTTCATTCATTCAGCCACGTACGTTTTTGTCCACCCTCCACTTGTCGATTGGGACATTGATTCTGAGAAAAACAGGTTCCAATTACATCATAAATCTTCTGCATGCATTAGGCGTTTGCACTTCTTACTACAATATTGAATTGTATGAGGCTTCAACAATAGTCAATCCACCCAGATTGATCATCGAAAAACCTTTCGTACAATTTGTATTACCACAACGTCAGGACCCTGGACGGATGGGAGACTTTCCATTGTTTAGGCGGAATTCAGGTTTACACTCCGGAGCACGAAATCACACAATGTGGAAGTGTCGAAAAACTTACTGAGATGCCTTCCGCAAATATAATTGCAAAGCAAGAACAAACTCCAATCTTCCCTTACGTCGAGCCGCCAAAAGAGGGCTTGAAACTTATAGAATTCATCAATACAAATTTACTGACCATGGTCGACATGCCTCTATTCCCCCCTACTTACTCAACTTATTTGTGGGCTAAATACGTTGATCCTGAGAATGTACCAGCATGGCGAGGTTTCATGGAGATATGTTCGGAAAATGAAAGTTTCCAAAGGTCGGGGGTGCAATGCCAACAATTCATTAACGAAGTTCCATCTAGTCTAACAACCATTTATACATCAATTATGCATGCAAAGAACGAAACCCGTAAATGTGGTCAAAAAACCACTATCTTAACTTACGACTTGCCGTTGTACATGAAATGACGCGATATTATAGCGAAGTTAATGTTGCCCGACGTTTTTGTTCGCTTAGGCGGATTCCACATGTTAATGTCTTTTTTGGGAGCAATAGGTATTATCATGGGAGGAAGCGGACTTGAATTTATCTGGGAGCTTGCTTACGCTAGTGAATCCATAAAGAAAATGATGGACGGGCACAATTATTCAAGAGCAGTCCGAGCACACATTTTGACGTTTACAGCTTTAGGCATCGTAATTTGTGATTCAATCGAAGAAAAAGGCGAGATCAAAGGGGTTATCGCATCATTGATGCGTGTCTGGCAGAAAAACCCTCTCAAGCTAGGGGACAGTGACTCTGAGAAATGTCTGATTTGTTTTCTACAAAGTTGAAGCAATTGAAAAATAACGGCCCAACAGCCAAGTTGTGGGTGCAGTACATTGAAGCCGTTTTATTGAAGCAGAACGTCTTGGAAACTGGGACCTTCATCTTGATTGCGTTCGAAGAATGTTGCCATTGTTTCATGCCGCGGGACATTTTCAATATGCAAAAGCAGCTCAGATTTATTTGCAGGATATGGTACTTCTACAGGACATCATGGATCCTCAAGAGTTTCACCAGTTTGCCACACAGGGTTATTTCGCTATCCACAGGTCGGATAAGGCTTGGTCCGGAATCTGGAGTGACATGACAATCAAGCAGACATTGAATAGGTTTTTTGGGACTGACTTGAAACACGGAAGAGGTGTTACGCGGAGTGTCGTGTCTCGATATTTGCTGAGGATGCCTTGCGCCGTGCATGTGATGCAAGCATTGGAAGAGTATTGTAACCTGGAGACGAGAAACAGTGATCAGCATGTTGATTTGGGCAAAGGACGAAAAGCATGGGACGCAAAGGACATTTCCTCATTCGTTACTTGGTTGAAGGGGCATGAACCATTCCAAATCCGCGAGGAATTAATTTCGCTGTCAACTGGAGTTGTTGGTGGTGTGGAAATAAATTGTCATATGGCTTTCGAGCGTGGCACACAAGCAATGGGTCATATAGTTGGACGCACTTATGAAAAGGTGTCGCTGTCAAAATTGTACAAGATCAAGAATTTGGACTTTGCACGGACACAATCTCAAAAAGCTATGTCTTCCACTGTCACTGTTGATACCTCTCTATTATTTCAACGTCTGTCTGTGGCTATGCGTGGAAGGAAAGAGTTGAGTAAATCTTGCTTCGACTACGAAATGTCTCCTGTTCCGCTTAGTTTGTTCGACGAGAAAGGACCAATGCGAAAGACCGACAAGTCAAAGTTATATAAAATGTTCACTACTACCCTATCCTCACGAGCATTTTTTGAAGATTCTCAGTTTGTTGTAGACGGAGGATGGTTGCTTCACAGCCTCGTCTGGCCTCATAGTAAGACATACCGTGCAATCTTTGATATGTACAAGAACTTTCTTGTTCAGCGGTTTGGTCGGAGCGTCATTATTGTTTTCGACGGATATGAAGATGAACATATAGGTGTCAAATCATACGAGCGAGACAATAGACAAGAAAGAAATTGTGGCGTGGACGTTGAAATTGAACCAGAAAATCTCGTCCCATTGAACCAAAGGACATTTTTGTCCAACGTGAAAAACAAGGCTCAATTTGTTTATCACCTTGGTCAAACTCTTGCAACATATGAGGGATTCAGTTTTACCGTGATCCATGCGAAAGAGGATGCGGATGTTGAGATTGTGAGAACAGCTCTGAAGACTCATAACGAATTGTTTCGTTACGGGAAATCACGAGTTACAGTCGTCGGCTCGGATGTTGATCTCTTAATATTACTTATTGGACTCACTCCAACCTCAGAGAGCATGTACTATTACAAGATGGACCAGGGGGGCAAGGCGAACCAATTGTACGATACTCGGGATCACAAACATTTGCAACCATTTCTACTTTTTGCTCATGCCTTTGCGGGCTGCGACACTACTAGCTGCTTTTTTGGGAAAGGGAAGATGAAGCTGGTGAAGTTGCTGCTGCAGAACGACAGCATTAGAGCGCTGGCGCTGAAGTTTTACGAGCAAAAATAATTTGTTATACTCTATCAAAATAGAAAATATAAAAAATTGATGCAACTTCCAATTAATGGTTTGTACATAATTTCTTATCTCGATTAAAATATAATGGAGTCTATTCTTTATTTGCGTTGGCGTAGGTCAGACCAACGTATAGACGCGGCTCAAAAACTGCTAAATCTCTTATCATGATCGTAGATTAACAACTATCGGTGATCAAACTGATTTGCGACGATAACTATGAAAATAACGTGGAGTCTCGAAAGCGAGTCTTTTGATGACTCATTGGGCTTCTACATCCTGTAATGTATTCTTATCATTGCCACTCATTTATATACACGTTCACACCTTTTTTGCAGCTGTAAGTTTTTTATTGTTGTTCCAATTCTAAATGAAAATATTATACCTCACTTATCCAGTCAATCGGTAAGCGGCTGAAGAAAAATTACTGCATCTTGTCCTCTAAACGCAGAAATTTCAAAAATTCATTAATATGCATAAGTCGGTGAACGCCACAACTACAAACGAGCTTATTATTCGAAATCGACTGGCCTATCACTGAGAGAGAGACACTGAGGACGTCGAAATAAAAGAGGATCGTTCCGCTTCAATGGTGCGGCGGCTGGCGACATGTGTACGCGCGTCCCTTTCCCCGCAAACCCCTCGCCATCAGCAAGCTGTAGCGCGAAAACTAAGCAATTTAGCAAAAAAAATTTTGATGGCCCAAAAATTAGAAAAATTCACGTGTAAAAGCATCCCAGATATCCTCAGCCATTTCAGCGAAAAAGAGGTTTTTTGGGTTTTTCGCAGTTTTACAAAAAACGGCTGGTTTCCGGAAAACCAAATTCATACAACAATATTCGCAATCCTTTATTACACCATTTCGCCAGCGGAAATAACTTTGTGGCTATGTTATCACTTTTGTCTCAGTTTCGGCTATTTAACTGGACTATTGATGTCGTTAGCGACTTGACGATAGCTCTGGCAAAAACAGAACCTAGAATCAAACAACTTTGTACCTATATAAAGTGCGTTTCTTTGTATTTATTGAAAAAGTAAAGGGGGTATGAAAATATAATTTATAGTCCGGGGAGCCTCAACAAAAAAAAAAAGGTTGGGAAACCCTGGTATACAGATCTTATTTAAGATCTATTAGAAATCCTGTGTTGAAGATGTAGGTTCCTGATTTTTTTCAAAGAATTATACTAACATGAAAAACACAAAATTACAAACTTTCATTTATTTAGCCCGTTTTAATAGACATTTGTTGATCACGCCACCTTGACAGTTAAAAATATGTTTTGTCTGTTAAGCAATCTGGCGGATTTTAGGTTATTCACAAATTCCTTTATAGCGCCGCCACTTTAAAACGAAAATGTTACTTGTCCACATCATTGGAAGGGAATTGTGCATAGAGTACGATTATGGAAGAAAATATACAGGTCTCCATTTGAAAGACGAAAGTCAAGGGCACTTCCGGTTAAGCCAGAAGGGAAAGATAACCCATTCAAATTTCCGGAAATGCCTCTAAATGACTCTCCCAATCTTGGACTGATATCTTTATTTGCCAAAAAAATACAGCGTGTTTCCAATTTTCATTGGCACCCGATATACAAAAAGTAATAGAGATTTCCATTTACAAACATTCAATACTAGCAAACCAATATTTTAGAAGCGATTACTTGAATTTAATAAACTAAATAATGATATAAAGTCTATTTTTGTAATTCAAAGATGTTTAAAAGAAAATTAAATAAACATTTAATGGACAGTGACAATTTTAAAGGATGCAGTTTTTGTTTTCCTAAATATTTGTATGTTATGTAATAATTGTTGTAGTTTTTAAAAGAATGTAATTGCAGCAATCATAAATATATCTTAAACAAACGAACAAAATCTTGGCAATAAAAACCAATCATAATTATTATTTGTTATGCAAAATTAGTGAGAAAGAGTTGTATTATATACCTGCTCTGCAGCACAGAATATGTGAGCATCATCCTGCTGGAACCTCCTTACCCTTGTCAATCCTGTTAGCGCCCCTGACAATTCATTACGATGAAGTACGCCGAAGTCTGCTAAACGTAATGGCAATTCTCTCCAGGAGCGTACTCGGTTGTCAAAAATGAGACTGAAAAACGAAAGAAGTCTACAGTGAAATCCATATAACGCTGACGTCGTAATGTGTCCGAAAGAGAAGCACGTGAAGCGTGCACTACGTATGTTACAGAGAGATAGAAGCACCTTGTTGCCTAGCAACCCGAGCGACGAGGCCACGGACGTACATACTGCACGCTTCTCGCCATGCTCTCTCGTACACATTACCAGTCTGCCGAATTTCAACCTCACCATAGAGTAGTTATACAAAGTGTACTATAAAAGTTTTGCAATACAGCTTTATTTATTGACTTTGTTCAAAGTAATTTCCACCACATTCAATACACTTCTCCATCCGCCAAAACCAGTTCTTAAACCAGCTCTGCCAATTTTTACCCGGGAGTGCGGCACACTCGTTGTCTGAGGTTCCTCATGGCTAGAAAACGATTTTAATTTTCATTTTCACATGCAAAGTCGCAGGGAGCAAGATCTGTACTGTAAGGAGGGTGCTCAATAAGTTTCAGTCCAGTAGTGATCAAATACTTCGTGCAGGCTTTGGCGCGGTGAGCTGCAGCGTTGTCATGGTGGAGGTACGAAGTGTCCATTCTTGACTTTGGCCGCAGGTTTTTCATAGACTCTTTGACTTTAGGCAGGCACTATTCCGTGTAGCACTGAATGTCTTCTGTGTGTCCAAAACTACACGATCCGTTCGATTTGAAAAATACAGATATAATTTTTTTTCTTAACAGATCGGGATTGTGTGAGTCTTGGCCGGCACATCGTAATAATAGAGCCCAGTCTCGTCACTTGTCACGATGCTGTTTACGTACCGAGATTGCCTCTTATCATACATTTTCAGCATCTTTCGGCACCAAGTCGTACGACGAGTCTTCTGCTCTTCCGTCAGACTATGCGGTACCCAGAGAGAAAAAGGTTTCATTACGTGTAAATGGCCATGAAGAATTGAATGAATTGCCGGTGCATGAATGTGTAAGGTCTCCCCTATCTGTTATGTCACTCTCCGGTCTTCGTCAAGCATTTTCCTCACGGCAATAATGTTTTCCTCTGTTACTGACGTGCGCGGCCTTCCTTCAATCACAGCGTCCTCCAGAGTGAAGTTATACCTTTGGAATTCTCTGTATATAGTCGTACGATGAGGACAATCATTCTTTAATGCAAGCGTCATTTCTTCTAAGCAGTGGTCTATGCTTAAGCCACGCGTAAAGTTATACCGTAAAACTGCGCTTATCTCACTACGTGACCACGATGCCACGGTCCGCACTTTACTCTGTCAATACGAATGAACAACTAAATCAACAGACGTGCTGCTGGTGGCTACTATGCACTCATGGACATGTCTCAACATGCAGTAACATGCAGCCTCCTGCGTCAGTTTGTTAAGTCATACTGCAAAACTTTTAAAGGACGTTTTGTACCAATGCAGACAAGGCGAATAAATTAGAGATGTAACAAAACACATGACGTCCTCAAAACAGGTGATGGCGTCTAAACATGTGATGATCTTATTTCGTCAGAGATATACGCGGTGTTGCCAGATAGATAATCCTTATTGTGGTAATTCATTGTCCATTACTATAGTTCAATGCCGAAATTGTTGACAAGCCAGGCTTTGTTCTCACGTGCTCATATAGAAATTCATAAAATTCATCTAAAAGACTCATATGCATAAGCTGGGAATGACCGTTTGAGTAATATTTTATCCATATTATGCATTTTCAAACCTCCATTCAACGTCAAAAACACAAATTAAATCTGTGATTTAATTGAGATTTGCATATAAGCCTATATTGGATAAAACACACAAATCCAGCATACCGCACACAACCCGACAACACCGACTCCTACAAAACACAAATACCGCGCTTAAAATACAACGTTGCCAGGTTAATTTTGGTTTTAGAGACACTCTTAGACCAATTAGAAATAATGTAGTATATAGACAAAAATAGTGCACTAAACCTATGTGCTCAAAAATATAGGTACATTTTAAAATGTAGATGTGATCTAATTTACTCCATGATACATAACATTATTCATACAAAGTGAAGTAAGTTCGATAGTGCATAAAAGTTTTGCTAAACGACTTTTGTTGATATAAGTTGAAAGGCAAATGTGTGCGAGGTTTATACCTAACAAGTTTCAAAATTAATTGACACATTTTGAGTATTCCCCAAATATTTCAAAGACTTCCAAAATAAATACTTTTTATTACTCCATTAAAGACAAATCTTATTATTATTATTATTTGTGCGTGAAATTTCAAAAAAGTCTGTTATCAGATACTAGTTTGGGTCTTGATAATGAAATAATAATAATGTGTGCGTCTAACGACAGTGCAAAAGGATTTATCGTTTTAAGATTATCTCCGTACCACGAAGAATTGTACCCGATCAAGTTGATATGGGCTCAAATAAAAAACGAGGTAGCCCGTAAGAATACTACTTTAAAGATGGCGGATGTTCGTATTCTTTGGGAAGAGGTCATTAAGGGTGTAACTGGAGAATCGTGGCAGAATTTCATAAGGCATGTAGTCAAAGAAGAGGAAAAGTTCTGGCAATTGGACCATTCCATAGAGCGGATAAACAAACCAGTGATAATTAACTTAAATGACGACAATGATTGCGACAGCAGTGACAGTACCGCTCGAATAATGGTGAGTCATAAAACCGCAGCGCAGCTGACTACCACTTGTTCAATTGAATATTTATTTATATTTGCATTTATTTACGTATTTGTTTTAAATTTTTGAATAATCAAAATTAATCGTTTAATTGTTGTGTGTCTTCCAGTTTTAGAACTTGTTATTTTTGTGATTTGTATATTTAAGTTTTAAAGATTAATCATATTTATTTTTCATTTTGTTGAAATTGAAAGACGGGCGGAGGGAGGGACGGGAGTCGATATGCAGCCAGCTTCCCGTGGTGAGTCCTGGGTAGCCCGAACATGGGCTAGCTGAGAGCTGCATTAACGATGTGACAAATTAATCCAGTTTTTGTTATATTGATCAGTCAGAGGTCGCTGCTCAAGCTATTTCTGTTTAATGACTATAAGTGTTGCAAAATGTTGAGGTAAATTCTACTTTTTAACCCGATCCGAAGCGGAAATCGTGGCGCCACTATGGCGGTGTTACTTCAAAGAAGTCCGCAATGTTCCTCGCATTCCATTGCTGTCAACAGTTCTGGTAATGAACTCTAGTAGTGAAAACATTTTTTTTCAAATTTACTTTTGTTTGGACATTTATTCATGGTGGGGATATTTATTAACCGTTTGCAGCTTACAAAATATATTTTTCATTGAATGAAGTTATAAATTACACTTTTCGCGAATCCTCTCCAGTGCACCTATTCTTAACTTTAATAGAAAATCACAATCCCTCTCTTTTTCTACTCCCCTGGTTTTCCTCGATTCAAAAATACTGTATTCTTGAAAGGACTCGATAGAAAGGAGAAAGGAAATCAAGACACAGGGTTGCCAGGTTTGAGTAAACGTGTTAAACCAATCAAAATGGAGATTTGACAGTCAAAACTAACCATCTAACCAAAGATTTCCTCCTTATAATTTTATCTACAGAGTCGAAAACTCAAAAAACACATTACAAATGAACAAAAGGGCAAAACGAATGAACGAATTTCTCCGAGAGCAACCCCAAATGCACCAGGGAAAATTCAATCATAGATTAAAGAATAGTGTTTTAGAATGACTAAAACTTAATATCTACTCTTGCCTTTGTTTTTATCGAAAGTGCAGCAACTCGTGGGGGTGGTTGTATGAATGGGGTCAATATCTCCAGCAATTTATACACCAAATCTTTGGTAAAAATAAACATCTGTACAAATTTTCGATGCGAAATTATGAAACGATCTCAGTGCCCAAGAATATCTCTCAAAATCTCCCATTCCCCAGCTGCCTCCTCCTCATCCTCGTTAATAAATCGTTCCAATACATCAATTGATTGAAATTATCCATTTTTTGCAATAGGTATGTTTAGCAGGAACGACAATAACAATGCCAAACATGTAAATTTTCGTGTTATATAGCGCTATTTTCTACTAATTTTTCCAGTTTCTCTTGGCCGGTACCAAGAGAAATCGCGACTCCCTAAAGTGAATTAATTTCTATCACTTTTCGGTATAATTGATTTCAAGAATACTGCATTTCTTGGCCACACCCACTTTTTGCCACTTTCTCTCACAATTTCTATTCTCTCAAACTCAAGAATAGAGGTCCATGTCATGTAAACAAAAAGTTATTCTCAAAGCCAGTCAGTTATCACATAGCTATTTAACTTTTTGGGCCCTAAGCGGAATACTGTTCGATTTAGTATAGTAACAAAAGAGGAATGATAGCTCGAAATTAAAAAAAATTCTAACCTCAAATTGCTTATTCGACCAATTGTCGGTGTATGGTTAGATGTTTTCGGTCGCAGGCGATTCAAATGAAACCCCGAGATTTAGGGCCGACTCGTCGTTCCTACACTTGTAGGACCCTTTATGGCCTCTTTGATTCTTATAGTCTTTTCTCTCCTTCACTTCAGAATGGCTGGGGTATTTCTACATTTTTAATGTTCTGTGTCATCGTCAACGCTCTCCTATTGTGAGGCTATGTTTTCTTTTTGAATTGTAAGACCTTTCAGGCCGATATAACAGATGTTATAAACCAAAAGCATGAACAATTTGATGCAAATAGATATTTGGAACATAACCTCAAAATAGAGCGCTGACACGGAACAGTAGAAAACTATGAAAATCAAGGAGGCTATATAGGCGTCCTACAATTGTAGGAACGACTGACGATACGGCGCTTAGTAAACAAAACGTGTTTGAAAGAAAATTAAAGGAACATTCCATGGACAGTGAAAATTCTTAGAGATATAAGTTTTGCTTTTAGAAAAATTTGTACGTTATGTGATTATTGTAGTTTTTAAAAGGTAAAATAAATAAATCTTAAACAAACAAAAAAACAAAACTCACCAATGTCCCGGACAGTTCATAGGCTTCAAGGCGAACTTATCCTTTTCTACATCAAACGAAAACATGTTTTCCTGAAAATACATGGTTCAATAGAAAATCATCCCAACCACAGTTCTTCGACAACTTACAGAGTAATGAGCCCAATGACCTGAAGTCTGCCAAAGTTTTGCATTGAAAATATTAGGAGTGACGACCTCTTGAAAGCCGCGCTTCCGATATTCCTTTTTAATAAAATCTATCAAAGTATTATAAATGTGAGCACCTCTGGGCTGGAAAAAGCAAGATCCCGGCGAAAGTTCATGGAAGAAGAATAATTCTTGTTCCTAAAAGAAAAATAAATAATATAAACATTGAGGAAGTCCGACCCTTTAGCAGATTAAAGAAAACTTCTACTCTAGGATTATTCAGAAGTATACGTGTAAAAATATAAATAAATAAAAAATAATAACACCTAAAAAATTAATTACTTCAACTTGTTTTTTTTTTTGGCAACATAACGACTATATTTAAAGCACGCTGTGACAACAATGTCAACGTTATATCTTTGTTTTTGTTTATCTCTGTTAAAATGTTATCTCTCAGTTTTTGTGAAGAAAGCAGTTTCTGAGAGCTGAGTAGTACAGGTATTTAGTTATTTACCTTTCATTCCCTATAAGTGTGCCTCGAGTTCGAAAACATCCAAATTATCACCATTTTAGCGACTTTGACAGGGGTAGAATCATTGCCTATCGAGATACTGGTTTGTGTTATCGCGAAATTGGCCGCCGTGTTAATTGAACTGCAATGACGGTAATGCGTGTGTGGATAGAAGAAGGTAGAGGAATACGAAGAAGGCCGGCTGATCCACCGAGGCGCACCACATACCGTCAAGATAGGCGCTTCAGACAACTAGCCCTACGAGACCGTTTTGCTACTACGCGTCACATCGCTGACCAATGATTTGGAGAAGAAGGTAGACCTGTTACTATGCGTACACTCTATCGCCGCATTCAAGCCTTTGGACGATCACCCCTTGTCTTTGTTCAATGCAATATGACTGCTGCGTGTTATGTTGATAAAACCACTTTACTGCCGCATCTAGAAGGCCGTCAACACGTCCCCATATTGCTAGTCGTACTACGGACTTTCTCCAAGAAGCAGGCGTTAATGTTTTGCTGTGGCCACTCCGTTCACCGGATTTAAATTGAACATGTGTGGGAAATGATGGGGAGGAGACTATCCACTTTGCACCATCCGCCACACGAAGTTCGAGTTGCTTGGAAAGAGGTGCCACAACCAGACATCGATCATCTCATTTTGTCGATGCCTAGACGTATACAGGAATGTATTTAGCTGCGGGGTCGCCAAACACATTATATTTTTTCTTATATTGTTAATAAAATTTCGAGATAGTGTTATCGTTTCATTCTTGATGTAAGACTACCTCATTGTCAAAAAAAATCAAGTTGAAAAAATAATTTTTTTCTGGGTGTAACACTTCTAATGTCACCGAGTATGCCGCCTGTAATTGTCGTAAATCAATATGTGGCAACATGTAATTTACTACTTTTATACTATGCAAAACAAATGTACTGCTAACGCAGTAATGAAGGTTTTTATCTTATTTTAATATAATACAAGGTCTGTCTCAAAGTAAAAACAACAAGACAAAGATAAAAATGAACAAACATTTTTTGTTTCGGAAAATCGAATTTATTTTATTCAAAATAGTCTCCTTCAGAGATAATGCAGCGATTTGCATCGAACAAAAGATATTCGAATGATGATTTTAGGTCATTGACAAGGATGTCCTTCAAGATGGTCGACGACGCCTTCCGTCTCTTTCATAATCAAATGTAGTTTACCGAACAGAAAATAGTCATATGCCATATCAGGAGAGTATGGGGAGTGGTTGATGGCTAAAATGCTATTTTTGACAAACAATCGGACACAAGAGTCGATCGATGAGATGGTGCATTATCGTGCAACAAGCGCCACCTTCCTGCTTCGCGATATTCTGGCCGAACACGACGAATACGCGACAGCAAACGGCTCATAACACCAAGATAAGACACAGCATTAACCGTTTCACCCGGTATTCTTTGTGAATAATTTCTTTCGGATCGTAGAAAAAAATCAATATTGTCTTCACTTTGGACTTTTACAAACGGCACAATGTTGAGAAAGTGTTTGTCTTTTTGGATCATTTTTGATAAATTGACGCACTTTTTCGACGATTTCTGCCATAATCACAAAATTTTGGCTGGCGAACATGTTCGCCCCTCTTTGAACCGTGTAAACCACTCGTGGACTCGGCTACAAGATAAACAATCATCATCATACACTTGCATCAATATCTGTTACGTATCGGTAAATGTTTTACCAAGTTTAACACAGAACTTGATATTGACTCTTTGTTCGATGCTCATTTTCCGACCGTTGCTAAAAACGTACTGTCACTTTGAGCGCGATAGCTCCGCGTGAAGTGGTTCGATTGTCATGAAATTTTGACAGGGCATCAATGAAAGATGTACGCTACTTGTATCGGGTATCATTCAAAAGTCCTGTTTACTTTGCTACAAACCTTGTAGACAAAATGATTCAATGGTTATGACGCATGAGCTTAGTTTTGAATGACTTCTGAAAGGGAAGATTAAGTAGGATGCACTGTTCTTACCACGTCATGATGTTCCTCAGCTCACGAGAGCAGGAATCTCGGTTGAGTAAAAAAAAAATTACCAACCATAAATGTGTCAATTTTCGGCGAATTTCTGTTTTCTGCTTTTACGAAAGTCCAGATTTTTTTTCAATAAAACGATATCTTTTTTCGATGATTAGGAGTTTTTTGGAAATATTTAAAGACGTTAGTCCACAGGTGACACACGGGTGTCGTTTCTTTGTTTAGAATTTGCATGATGCACCACATCATGGCCAATAGTGCTTTTTACCGTTTCATATGAAAAATAAAAAATAAATTATTTTTCATTGGACTTACGAGTATATATCCATCTTGCGCTTTTAAAAATATAAATCTATATATTTCGTTTTCCTAAGCCAAATACTGTAAGGAATAATAGCTTATTCTATGAAATCAGATAAGAGTTAAGTGGCCTATTGCCGTGTGAATACTATATATTACCGCAAAAATTACAGTTTAAAATACATCATACTCACTTTACCAATCTTTCTATGATCCCTTTTTGCTGCCTCTTCTTGAATATGTTGCCATTCCTTCAATTGTTTTGGGTCAGGGAAACTTATTCCATATACCCTTTGAAGCGTTTCTGCATCAGCTTTACCCTCCCAGTAGGTAGAGGAGCTCTATTCATGTTCAAAAATATTATAATTAAACAAGCATATCTTAATCCAAACTTTTATGTACACTCTCTTTAAACACAGGCTCTCGATCGTCAAATTCTCAGTACTGGCCATTTTGCTGACAAAAATAAGCCAAAAAGCGAAACAATTGAGAGCAAACAGTATTGTTGAGACGTGGCATATTTGCCGTCTGAGCAGGGTACAGGTCAAAAGCTATAATTTTATAATATTCAATAATCTAAATTTTCATGTGCTAGCAGTTTTATGAAATTTGGTTAATGTTCCATGATATATTGAAGTAGAATTGAACACTGGACCTTTTTTGCTAAGTATGCACATAAACAAAATATACCTCACCTTTGTTACTTTCAGGGCCTTAACTTTTCCAGTATGTCTCACATGGGGCCCCCTGCATAGATCTATAAGTGGTCCACATCTGTACACTGTTGTTGTCGGAGTATCCACCTTTTCGTTTAAAATCCTCACTTTGAATGGGTTATATTTGAACATTTCGAGCAAATCTTCCTTTTTCACTTCCAACCTTTCAAATGGCTGTTTCTCTTTCGAAATATTTTTCATAAGGTTTTCAACCACTGGGAAATCTGACTGAGAAATCTGAAAAAAAATGTCATAAATAGCATTAAAAAAGTTGTACTGAAGGACCCACAGAAACCTTCTGGGACATAGCTTTGGCTAATGTTTCTTTCATTGCACCTATATTTGAGGCACCCCGTTTACGTGACAATATTGCAATATTGGTTATCTACCCAATGCAGATGAAGATAATGTAAATATATATAAAGCATCTGTTACAGACCTTGTACCCTACCCACCATATGCTGTAATCGGATGCAGACTGCTCAACTTGTAGACCCTAATATACAGGGTGTCCAAATGAAAATGGAAAGTAGTTTTATGAGCAAACAGGAAAAGATCAAAAACCTATTTTCATGGCAACCTTGATATGTTACTAATGTATATTTTAAAATTTAAATATATACAGGGCGTTCCATAACTTCGAGCCAAAGCAAAAACATGTTTTTTAAATAGAATTGAATTTTTGAATAGAGATTCTAGAAACAAGAAGTTTGTTATCGTATAACATATGGTTTCGATTGACAATTGTTTAGATATTTCGACAAACGTCTGGAAAAATGTCTAGCTTTGACGACTCGCAGCTCTACCATTTTTGAAGACATTTACATAAATCTTAGGTCGCAACAATTTTCGATCATCGATTTTAAGCTGATCTGGCAAAAGTGGTGAAATTTCTTTCTGCTTTTTACAGGGTGCCAGCGGTCTAGATACGGTTCTGAGATCCGCCAGTACCCGTATTATTGTTCTCACCGGTGCCTACCGATTACCGTCAACTGCCGGTAGACGCAACTAGCCTAGATGCGATGAGCTATTCAAAAGATGAGGTTATATTTCACAAAAAACAGTGGGAAGTTCAAGCGCTAATAGATACATACGCCTATTACACAATCTATATCGACTATCTACGACCGAGCGGTAAATTGTACTTTGTGGATAGACTTTTAGAAAGTTGAACCTCACTCTTCAACCCACGGACTCCACGGGCTGACATTGCATCATAATCGTTGTTAGGAGGTGCAGCAAGTTCCGCTGACACGGACGTTCAATTTTTCATCATATTTTCATTTTTATACTTTAATGCCAAAAATACATAAATAATTATTATTGCAAATATTAGAACACCTTCTATATATTTACATTAAATTTTTTTAAAATTTGCCACGAAAACAGATTTTTGATATCGCTTCCAGTTTGCTGATAAATCTTCTTTCCATTTTCTCTAAGAAATTACATACTGAAAAACTGTAGGGCCGTGAACACTTTTATCTAACATGTTGATATTTAGAGGATTCTAAATTTAAAAAATAATCGAAACCCATATCACATAAGGGATCTGCAAGTTCCATTCTAGAGAATGCTTTTAATTCAATATATTGATTTACGAGCCCCTTCCCACTTCAGTTGGCCCACTTCAAGATTTGTACCAAAATATGCCTTTATAAACTAAACATGAAGAAAGTATTTACTTCTAAAACAATTTATTTTCTCAAAAACATTTTAGATACACTCTAGTCGTAAAAAATACATATTTGAAATCACTTAGACCTATAACTAATAGAACATCTGAACAAATAAACAATGGGCGAATAAATGCGCGAAGTTAACAAAGCAACAATTGAAAGATTACCATTGGGTAACATCACCTTTATTTTTTATTACGGCTGAAATAGTTTGGGGCATAGTGTTAACCAAGTTTTGGCAAAAATTTGGTGTAAAACAATCCCATATTTCTTGAAGCTTTTGTCTCAGTTCGATGATGTCCTTTTGGATGGCCTCTACACATACGTCGGCATACATATCTTCATGGCCAAATGTAGTTTACTGAAGAGAAAAACTGTTTGACAAAAAGAAGTTCTTGGATCATTTTTGATACATTCACGCACTTTTTCGACGGTTTCTGGCATATTCAGACATTTTGGCTGGCCAAGATGTTCGTCGTCTTCCAGCGACTCACGACCCTCTTTAAACCGTGTAAACCACTCGTGGACTCGGCTACGAGATAAACAATCATCACCATACACTTTCACCAACATCTGATGCGTTTCAGGAAATGTTTTACCAAGTACAGAACTTAATATTGGTTGTTTGTTCGATGCTTATTTTTCGACCGATGCTAAAAAGGTACTGTCATTTTGAGCGTAATAACTCGTCGTGAAGTGGTTCGATTATCATGAAATTTTGACAGGGTATCAATGAAAGATAATAGATGGCGCTACTTGTATCGGATATATTTCTCAAAAGTCCTGTTTACTTTGCAACATACCTTGTATCATTGGTTGTTCCTGTGATTGGATGCAAATCTGTTGGAATAAAATTTATTATTATTATTATGACAGTCCTTACCCCAACATCATCCAAATAGATATCATAGTAAAACCCATTTTCTATTGGTGGGCCATAACATAGACACCCTCCATAAATTCGCTCTAAAGCTTCACCTAACACATGAGCAGTAGAATGCCAAAACACCTGCTGAGCATCAGGATGATCAAATTTCAATAGCTCAAGCTTACAATCTCCCTCTAATGGCCGGTCCAAGTCCCAGAGTACTCCATTCACTTTGGATATTACTGCATTGTCTGCCAATCCTTGACTGAAATGAATTTAGCTAGGGTTATTTGAACTTTATGTTGCTTAGTTCTTATAAAGGGTGGACCAGAAAGACGTACGAATTTCAAAACCGCATTGCTCGTGACACGCATGCGGGAGCGGTACACGGGTAGTGGGGATAAATAGCTTCGTGCTCAACAATCTGGTCACCATGGAGCGTTTCACGAGTGAGCAGTGTGCGTTCTGTGTCAAGGCTTATTGCAAAAATGGAGATTCGTGCACTATTACGCGATGTCTGTCTCGCTCTTAGTTTACATGGTCTAATTCAATGTCCTAGTGAAAGTGTGATCAGGTCGTGGGTCAGAAAGTTCGAGTCTACCGGTTCGACACCGAAACCTGCGGGGCGTGCAAGGTGAATACGAACAATCAACAATTGCTCAAGCAGGAGATGTTCACTATCCCACGAGCGATGTGTCAGCGAGTTTTCACGAATTTGAAGTCGAGATTAGGGGCGTGCGTACGTCTGGATGGCTCACATCTCAATGATGTTATTTTAAAAAAATAAAATTCCCATGTGTCCATTAAAAACATAAATTATCTTCCCTTAACCCACTCAACTTAATGCCCCACCCTGTACAGTATTTTAAAATAAGGATCCAAGAGAATTCAAAACTATAGACCAGCATATCTAGGTTTGAGAGAAAAAACTGTAATAAGCTGTTTTACAACAAAAAATTTTGCTGGCTAACTTAAAGTGTTGTTGGGGATGAAATACCTTCAAAATAAGACAAAAGCACGGCCAATTTTCAGTAACGGTTAATTTGTTATTACAAGAATCGACAGAAATCTTCGATTTTCTCATTTATTTTTCCTGGAAAATGCATAAAGATAAATCTGAAATAATAGGTAAAAGTTGAAGCGTTTGTGATGCTCAACATCCAGAAAATTAAAAAATGCTCAACCATCTCAGCAATTGTTAGTATTTTTTTCAGAAAAATGGCCTTTGTTGAGGAGCTATACAGTGACTTTGGTTCAACCAAATGGTTTCATCTTATTCTCTTGCTGGAGACTTAGTTTAATACCTCATAAAAGGAGTCCGTTGTTTTTGACTGTCATAATTAGGATGCTCACCACTGAGAAGAAGAAAAATACACACTTTAACGAAAAATGGAGGTTTTTTGGGGCCTCGAGAGCCAAAATGCCATTTATTATCAAAGAAGCCACCATAATGTTAGCTATCAACATTAAGGATAGTAATTCAGCCCACGTATAAAAAAAGATTTAAGTTTATTATACCTGTTCAAAGCTATATGGTTTCATAATGGGGCTACATACACCTTACAAAGGTGATTCATTCCACATCGAATTCAAATGACGTCTTTGCTTCTCGGAGTTGTAGGTTATGATTGATTTTCTTATGCAAAATGTATTTGTCCGAGTTTTCTACTAAAAATTTACTCTGTAAACGTTATGGTAGTCATTATTGAAATGGGTAATAGGGGGGATCAAAATAAGTCAAAAAGTTCATATGACCCATGGTCCAAAAGTCAATAGATTTTTGTCTAAATGGCTTTATAGTTTACAACTTGAAGTGCTTTATATCAACCACAATCTTACTAATTTTTATAATCTAATCCAAAACGTTTTTAAATTGGGTAATTAACAAGTAAATGGCATTAAGTTTTTCTAAGTTAAACCAAAATTTGTAGTCAGTAACTAAGTAAGTTTCATTAAATTGAATATTTAAAACATACATGACAACAGCGAGTCGGCCATCATCACTCTTATCGAACCAGCAATCGATCGCAAACGGTAACAGTGGTTAGTATGTTGCTTTGTTTTTGTTCGCGGACGTCGTCGTCTTGATTTACAGAATCCAAATCTTGCAGCTCAAATTTATCGCGATAGATTTCGCCAACGGGTACACCCAGACAGAAGGACATTTGTGCAAGTGTACCAAAGACTTCGAGATACAGGAAGTGTTCAGCCCACTAATATTCGCACTCGTGAAAGACAGGTTACTGTAGAGCAGGAGGAACAAATTTTAAATATCGTGGAAATCAATGCAGATATCAGCACTCGGGAATTAGGCCGCCGCGTAGGACTATCGCATATCATAGTCCATAGATAGATAGATACGTTTATTGTCTTGTAGATCATAAAATGACATAAGACTCGTCCTGAGGGGGAGGTACATAGTATGTACACTTAATGAAAAGTAAAAACAAAACAAACATAAGTATTTACAAAGTATGTTACAAACAGGAACAACTTAAGGCGTACAGACATTCACATATAAAAAAAGTTTTTAAAATATATCACAGTGCGAGGTATTCAGACAAAGAGTAAAAACATTTTTCAACTAATAATTTTCGTAGTTGACATTTAAAACTAGCAATACTAATGACATTCCTGAGGTTAGCTGAAAGTTTGTTTTTTATTCTGATGCAGGTGTATTCCGGTGACTTCTCGAACAGCGTCATAGAATCCTACGGGAAAATTTGCTTTATCCCTACCATGTACAACGAGTGCAGGCCTTGCTACCAGAAGACTATCCTCGCAGACTAACATTCTGTCAGTGGTATTTGCACAAAAACATTGAAAATCAGGATTTTTTAAAAAACATTCTAGCGACGGACGAATGTACTTTTACGCGATAGTAATAGCTCTGAGAAGGCAAAGGCCCTGCTTGATTTCTAAACGTTCTACAATTTACAGCAGTTTAATGAAATTTTAAATTTTAGAAGAACAGTAAGCTTGATTTAGTGTTGGCAGACTTCAATATTAACGTCCAGAGGGAACACAGTCCACTTGTACCTGAGGATCCCTATCATCTATCCCTTCTTATTAATTGCCCTTTTGAAAATACAATTGTTCAAGATAGAATTCAATCTTGATTTACATATGATTACAGCAAGGCAAATTTTTTGCTCTTATATGAAATAATTAGGAATATAGACTGGTCCAGTCTCCATGACATATCTGATGTTGACACTTGTCTTGATTCCTTTTATGAGCAACTATATCATTGCATAGACCAATGTGTTCCTAAAAAAGAAATTAATCTATCCAATAAACCTCGTACTTTCCCAGTATGGTTTTCGCATGATCTTATTACAAAAGTTTATTGGAAAAACCATGTTCACACTCTCATCAAGGGTGGGAAGGCCTGTGGGGACCAAATCATTGAGTATGGTGAGATTCGTAGCAGAATAAAACATCAAACTAAATTTGAATATTCCCAGCACAAGTCTAACATTGAGCGTAACCTCAATGAGGATCCTCAGTGTTTCTGGAACTTCTTTAAGTCCAAACAGGCTTCAGGTATACCTAAGGTAATGCAGTTTAACGGTTGTGACTTCCATGGACCTAAAGACATTGCCGGCGGGTTTGCTAATTTTTTTGAGTCAGTTTTTAATCCCCCTTCGTTAATAGACCTTAATGATTGTCACTTTCAGTTTGGCAACATAAACCTGAGGGAAGTCAGTGAGGAAACAGTTATAAGGTGTATTATGAAACTCAAATCTAAGAAGTGCACTGGCCCTGACAACATCCCTTCTTATATCTATAAGGGATGCTCTGAATTCTTTGCCAATCCTATTGCCCTATTATATAATCTATCTATCAGAAGCAACTATTTCCCGGCTAGACTTCGAAAATCAATTATAACACCAGTCTTCAAGGGTGGTTGTGTCAACAATATTCCAAACTATAGGCCAATTTGTCTCTTGAATTCTTTGGCAAAATTATTTGAAATCATTCTCTATGAAGATCTGTTTGACAATGTACGGGATGGCATAGCAGATGAACAACATGGCTTTTGTGAGGGAAAGTCTACTGTCTCTAACTTAGCCTGCTTTGCAAACCATGCATTTGAGGCGATTGGTGACCACTGCCAGCTTGATACAGTGTACACTGATTGTACTAAGGCTTTTGATCTCGTTGACCATTACAAACTCTTAGACCGATTAAGTGGATATGGATTTTCTAAGCAAGCCTGCAATTTCTTTTTCACTTATCTTTCAGGTCGCCCACACCAGGTAAAAGTCAGTAATGTGCTTTCCAGACCTTTCACGGCAACCTTTGGCGTGCCTCAAGGAAGCACGGTTGGTTGGTTAATTTTTATCAACACTTTGTATTAAAAACTCATTTTGTTTAATCTTTGCAGACGATTTTAAAATATTCAAGCAGATATCCTCATTGGCTGACTGTATCAAACTACAAGAAGACCTCAACTCGATATGTAACTGGTTTGTTGATAACAAAATGTTTCTTAATCTTGAGAAGTGCTGTACTATAAAATATGCTAGAAAAGCAAGCCCTCATATCTTCAACTATTCCTTGTCCAACCACACCTTAAAGAGGTGCAAGGAGATTAAGGACCTGGGGGTTTACATGCAGTCCGATTTGATGTTTACTACACATTATGATTTTATTGTTAGCAAAGCACTTAAAAAACTAGGATTTATCATACGGAACTCTACCAGTCTGAACATTGCCACTCTAATTAAATTGTACAATGCCTTAGTAAGGCGTCACCTGGAGTATGCCTCAGTGATTTGGTCTCCACTGGCTGGTTGTCATAGTGAGCTTATTGAGCGCATACAAAAGAGATTTCTTAGATCCATTTATAGAGACAAGAAAATCTATCCATATATGGTTTCTTATCGAATTATGCTTAACTCGTATCATTTCCATAAGCTTACCTGTCGCAGGATACAGCAGTCTATTATTTTTATATACTACTTAATAAATAATATTAAATTTCATAAATGTAATCTTCTGAATTTTGTAGCTATTGTTGTTCCCAAGGTGATTCTTAGGTACAAGAGAGATAAATTTTTTAATATTTAGTACCCTCTGGACAATCTCATGAGTCATATGTTAATGCTTTGCAATGAGCTATTTAAAAAAAACTGATATTGACTTTTTTAATACAGACGTGAATTCACTTAAAAACTTACAGATCTCACTAGGTCTTAGTCTAAGCAGCTATTGGTGGTTGTTTTATTGTTTTATTATTTTATATTGTTTTGCCTGTGATGAATTTTATTGAAACTGATTAGTATCTTAGTATCATAAATGTGATAACCTTTTTTTTTTATTTTAGTTTTCCAGTTCTAGTCTTGGCTCATTTAAAAGTTATATTTCATTGTTGCCTCGCGTTGTTTTACTCTAGTTTTAAGTTGTCTTGCATTCTAATTACTCTAGGGTGTTTTGTGAGACTTTAAGCAAATAAATAAATATTTCAACAGGTTTTTCAAAATTATTTGAGTTAGGCATCAATTAAATATTAGTAGAATTTATGAATGACTGTAATTTATTTAGTACACATCAGCATGGATACCTGCATGAGAGATCCACAGATACTGCAATATTTCAATTTGTTCAAACAGTACTTAAGCAATTAGAGGAGTGAAACTTAAAAGTTGGTTTCTATCTGAACTTGCAAAGCTTATGATTGCATTGACAGAGACATATTGTTATTAAAGCTACAAAGATATAGTGTAAGAGGAACTGCACTTGAGTTGTTCAAATCATACTTGTATAATAGACAACAGAGGGTTGAAATCGTTCAAGGTCAAACGTACAAGTCAAACATTGAGTTGACTTCAACTGGAATAGCACAGGGTAGTATACTTGGGCCCATTTTGTTTGTAGTTTTTTTAAATGATCATTTTTTGTTACTAGTGGTGATCCGAGCAACAATAAAATTATCTGATGCTGATAACACAAATTTAGAGTTGGGTGGGACAAGTGTAGAGGACCTAACTGATAGTGGGAATCTCTTATTCAGAAGTGTGAATACATGGTTTTCTGAGAACAAACTAGCGCTGAATAAATACAAAGCTGATGCAACATTATTCAGAACTAAGCAGAGTAAAGTCGTTAAGCCACAATGTATCGATATAGATGATCATCAACTGCAGTTTTTTTAAGTCTTTTCCATTGGCTATGGTTGTAGGGTAACATCAAGATATCTAAATAACTCGAGTATGAAAATATTGTATTATGCTAATTTTGAAAGTGTTCTAAAGTATGGGATTATTTTTTGGGAGCACAATAAGTTTATTACAAAAAATTTCTAGTTCAAAAAAGAGCAGTATGTCTGATAAAGGGACTAAATTTTATTGAAACTTGCAGGGGAGTGTTTAAAACTGAAAAAATCATGACTATGTATGCCATCTGTGTATGAGTGTCTTATATTTATATTTTTCTCAAAAATGAAAATTTATTTGAGCTTGAGGTGCAAACTATTTATGATACTCGAACAGTCAATGTTAATTATATAATACATGGATTATCCTCTATAGAAAAAAGCCCTATTTATATGCGTTTAAAATTTTTCAATAATCTACCAAATGAAATTAAAAATATAAACAGTTTACATAAATTAAGAAGACCATTTAGCAATTTTTAGTATAGTCAGAGCCTTATACCATGAATGAGTTCTAGATGAGTTGTAATAATTTAAGATTGTAAATGTTTTGAGACATATAACCATGTAACAAGAAAAAAAAGGTCTCAGGTAAACTACTATAGTTTCATCTTCACTATCACAGTGATGCAAGATTTGCAGTAGCTGTATAATTTCTGTATTGTCATTGTAGAATTTGAAATATACATTATTATTATTATTAATTATAGTGCTATCAGAGCAATGAGTAGCATATGCAGGGGTATTATGTATAATACTGACAACATGCCATCTTGCAGACTAGGAAGTTTTTAGTGTTCAAATAGTTCATTCCACATTTGCTCGCTATGATCATTGTAAGTGCCATCAAAAGCATCCATCTATGGAGGAATGTCTCAATGATACAACATGCATTGTTGGTTGCAGAAAGCCAAGTAGTCTGTAGTAGTAGTATTTAACAAATTTTATATGGAATTTTATGAAATACAGCAATTTGACAAATATCAATTTGGAGTTATTTAACATCTCTGCCACATCACACACTGCATTCGATTTGACAGATCCCACCACCCACTTAGCCGATTGATTAGTGCAACCAAACAACTACACTATCGCTCAAAAGTTTTGGGATAGTAGATTTTTTGAGTGAAATCAAACCAATTCAAACCATAGAGTGTTTAATCAAAACAATAAAAAAGAAATTATTTTCCATCAAAACTTAATTAGTTGGTAACTTATTTCAATCAAAATTTTCTTTAAATTCGTGATTCATTGAAATGTCCGCCACGAGCCCGAATAACTGCATTAGAGACACGACTCATCTGACGTATCAATTTTTCAAGAATAGTTGGTGATAAGGATATTTCTGCAGTTTGGCCTACAAGTCTGCAGCACTAGTAGGCTCTTGTTGCTTCACCTGTTTGTCCAATTCATCTCACAAATACTCGATAGGAGACAAATCTGGAGACTAGGAAGGCCACGCCATGATTTTCATCGCACCAAGTTCTTGCTGTTGTTCCAAATAGTTGCGCCATAGTCGAGATGAATGCTTAGGGTCGTTGTCTTGCTGAAAATCGAATTTGTTCCCAACGATCCTTTGTCCTGAGGGAACAGCATGGTTTTCCAATATTTCCAAATACTGCTCTTTTCGCATTAAACCCTCAATACGAACCAAATCTCCTGTTCGATTTCCAGCAAAACATCTCCAAACCATTACACTGCCACCTCCATGCTTAACAGTGGACTGCAAACATTGCGGAGTCATACGTTCATGGGGTTGGCCAAGTACAAACTGTCATTGTCGAGATCCAAACTATTTGGATTCATCCTACCAAAGGAGCCGATTCCAATCATCAATGGTCCAATCCTTGTGTTTTTGGGCCTATGCTAACCTGCTGTGTTTGTATATAGATTGCAGGAAAGGTTTGCATGCTACTACACATCCTCTAAGGTTAGCCCTTTATAAGCAGCGTTTTACTGTAGACATAAACACATGGTTTTCCCTCGTTCTATTCAAGCAATGGGTGAGTTCAGGCGCAGTTAAATGTCTATTTCGCTACTTCTTATTACTATAAGCCTATCCTCAGCAACAGCTGTAACTCTGTTTGAGAAAACTATGTACAATTTTTAATTTGCTTCATCGATACTCAGAATGTTTATGTATCATATTAAGTCAAACATAATACATTGAACAAAAAAAAGTAAACAGTGGCAGGAATTCGGCCGATTTATGACTGCAATGAACTAATAAAAATATCGGCGTCTCTAAAGATGTTTACATTTATACCCTTTTAAGGGGTGTTTCACTGATTCTTATATACTGTTCCAAAATATTTGAGCGGCAGTGTAGCTCATTTTCAGATATAATTTTCTTTTGTGTAAATGTGAAATTTGGAATATAGAATTATACAATAAGCCCTAGTAGCAACATGTTTAATTTTATAAGAATTTGATTACCTGATTCCCTTTGCAATATCATAAGCAGTAGTCTTCCACGCAACAGCTTCAACAACTTTGTCATCAGGCAATGTGACTTTGATAGATTTCTCTGGTTTGCTGGCCAGTTCAGCATCATACTGTGCTTTCAACTTATTCCACAGAGTCAACCTTTCGGCAATATACGAAGGGGCTGGATTAAGCTCCTTTGCAAATGACTTCGAGTCGCCACCTGGCTGAGAGGTCTGCTTCTTTTTTTTCATTTTTGCCTGTTTAAACGGAAAATCATTACAACTTGCGGTAACATATGACTCAGTTATTCGATTATGCTAAAACCACGATTTATTTTTTGTTTATAAGCATTAATAATGATATCTTATGAATACAATATTGCATCATACTAGAATATCAGGTGAAACAGAACACGTTACAGGTATATCAAACTACACACCAACGTAGCATACCAACACCTAAACTGCCCTGGAGCAGAATAACGAGCCAAACATAAAACTTTTAGCATATTTAAGTATAGGTGAATAACATAATTAGCATGCCTTTTCATCTACACGATTATCTACGTTTTCACTCATTTTTCACTTGCTAAAAGCACATACACAGCTCCGTATCCGTACACGTTTTTTAATTTTCACTCACAAACACAAAACATATACACTGAAGAAGGTTTAATTGCATGCTATTCAATGGCAACACGGTGACTTGTGTGCTTGGCAGCGGCCATTTTTTGAGGGTGCGACACGGTTGCCAGATTGTGCATTAATACCCCGCAGCGTTGCCAGCTTTTTTGTATATTAAATATTAAAATAGCAACGTCAATAACACAAGCTGTTATAAGATCACTCATGTCTACTTACTAATCTGGAAAGGTTCAGAAGAAAAACATATACTGTAAAAACCTAAATATATATTTATTATATAAATCTCACATTTTTCTACAAACAAATCAGTATTAACATTATTATGGTCTAGATGTTTTCATTCCCCAGCCTTTGTTGGCACTGTCTATATAGTTTATAGACAAAGGCTTTCTCGGGCGAGAAAAAGGACGCTATCCACATTCTCCGTTCTCAGTGCGACGTGCGACCAACGTTATTCTTGCGACGTTAGTGGAAGTATTTTTGTTTTATTTCGTGAACTTTTTAAAATAGAAAATGTGGGACAATGACCTAGAATTGAAGTTTATAGAGTTTTTTCAAGCAGAGCCCATATTATGGGACACAAAACACCGAAATTATAAAAACAAGAATCTAAATCACGACGCGTGGGGTAGAATTGCACAATTGATGGACCTACCAATACCAGATCTCAAGAAGAAGAAGGAATCTCTTTTTGCAAGTTATCGGAAATACAGAAAGATGGTTAAAGATTCCTACCAATCGGGTGCTGGGGAAAATGAATTATACAAACCAGTATGGTTTGCATATGAGGCTTTGGATGGATGTCTGAGTGATGGACTTACTCCGAAGATAACAATAAATACGCAATCAAGGGTAAGAACATTTCATTTATTTCAATAAACATTTTAGTACCTATTGTACAGTAAAAATAGTAAATTAAAAAATTATAGCTTTTTCTCAATTTACATTGGAAAAATAATTTTTGAACTCATCTCGTACTTGCCTTGCGTTGGCAGCTGCTCGGCGTGCTATTGGTGGTATATTTTGAATAGCATTAGTGCTTGAATTATCTATACGCCATGTCCTAGGCTGAATAAGAGTGTCGTTATCATCGTAAACATCAACAGTGCCTTGTGGGGAATACATTTGTGATGAAGTATTGCTTTTTATTAAATAATTATGTAATAATATACAAGTCATGGTGATAACAGAAGCTTTCTCGGGCACAGCTCAATTGGCCTTTTAAATATTCGAAACTTTGATGACAATATTCCAAATGTATTCTCTACGACTACGCGTGATCCAGATAGTTTTTTATTTAACATGCGTTCAGGGCTATCCCTGTCATGGTTACCAGGATAAGGTTTCATGATATTCGGGTGCAGTGCAAATGCACCGTCACTCAAAAATACGTAAGGTATATCAACATTTGAACCTGGTAGTGGATGTGACGCTGGTAAATTCAAAGTGTTGCTAGAAATCATCTCCCACAACAAAGTATGTCGGAAAATTCCTCCATCACTTATTTTTCCCTGACCACCAATATCAGCAAAAATAAAGTTATATTTGCTATCGACTAATGCCATGAGCACAATACTGAAACTTTTCTTGTAGTTGAAGTACTCCGAGCCTGAATTTTGTGGACACGTCAGAACAATATGTTTGCCATCTATTGCACCAATGGCTCTAGGAAATTTTGAGCTGAATCCTTTTTCGATTTCCAGCCATTCTTCAGCGGATGATGGAATCTGAAAAGGAATAAATAATTTGTTTATACTAATGCTTTTCTTTTATTTTCAGGATGAACAGCCAGGCACAAGTACAATTACTTCAGAAGAGGAAATAATGAATAAACCAGGAGAAACCAAAAATGAAATAACAACATCACGAACTGGTCGTTCTCGTTCTCTTCAGTGCGAGGTAAAAGAGGCCGGAAGGCATGTGAAGGAGGCACTGAGTTTGTTTCAAGAAAGTGTTAAAAGAAGGGAGTCTCAAGAACCCCCGGATGACTGTGAAATATATGGCATGGGGTTAGCCAAGAAATTAAGAGCTTTCTCTGAAGAAGAACGACTAGAAATCATGTATGAGTTCGATGGCATAATTCTCAATCGTCGACGAACAAAGCAACCAAACAGGTTCACAAACACAGTATTTAATCCATCTTCAGAATACACTCGATCTTCATCTGCTATGTCTTCCCCTTCCCCTGGTATCTCTTGCTACTCTGAACCTCTGCAACACAAAATGGCTTCTATATAAAATGTCCGTATGACAGATTCCGCACCGCCGGAGATTCATACATCAGAAGTAGAACATACACTCCTCGTGTATTCTAAACCACTACAAATTCAGACACCATCCGAAGAAAAATATACAATTAAATGTATTCTGAATCACCACAAGTTAATGTCTTACAAAATGCAGATGCACAAAGTAGCTCAAACATACACATTATTTCGGACGACCTATTGAGAAGTACCTATCGTTCTGATGTTATTTGTAATGCCTTTAATAATGCTTAGTTAATAAATATGTTGTTCAAAACTCACCTGTATTTCTTTTGTCAATACTTGATTCAGTGCTTTACATACTTCGGGAACAATTGTTGAAATCAATTGCGGTGACACTTTGAATAAAAAATGAAGGCTTTGAAAGCTATCTCCCGTGGCCAAGTATCTCAATGTTATAGCAAGACGCATTCGGGTTGGTACGGCTTTTCGAAGTTGTGTATCTTGTTTGCTAATTCGAGGAGAAATCTTGTTGAGCAAAAATTCAAAGTCCGTAGTTGACATTCGCGTGAACTTCTTAAATTCTCCACTTGGTTCAGCAATAAGTTCTCATAACTGACTTTGCATGCTTAAGCTGAAATGGAAAATACCTATACATTTACTCTACTATATAATGTGTATTATGATAATTTTTAATAAAAAAATAAACCAGAATTTAAAAAACAACTAAAATTCTCAAACCTTGTTCTGCTTAGATGAATTTGCGTCATCCACCAACGTCTGGGCCTTTTCTTATTAATTCTATTCCTAATGGTTATATTTACAAGGTTATAGTACGCCAACGCATATACCATCAAAGCCGCTGCACTGTCGTCCATACCGTATAAAGACGAGAACAGAAGTGAGATTCAGTGTGAATGTGGACATAGCCGTTTTTCGCGAGAAGTCTCGGCGAATCTTCTCGCCGAGACTTCTCGCCGTGAGTCTGGAAGGCATATGAAACTTTATTTCTAGAACGCCGACTAATTTCTAACCACGTTTTTTGCGTAATTATTATAAGAGACCCTAGGGATACGGGGTAGCATTTACCATGAAAAATATATATTCTGCCAATTTTGAGCAGTTTTTGATAATCGAATGACGTAAACAAACAATAGAGATTTTTTCGCGAGATCCCGTAGTGAACCGAAGCGGGAACAGGTGTAATTTCCCCTTCCTCTCGAAGTTTTGACAGTTTCAAGTTACACCGGGAGAGGTTAGATGGCGCATGTTGCGCAAAATGTTTGCTGCCTTGTTCGAATCTGAAATAAAAAGACCGATCGTTTTTTTTTGCAATGTACATATACACCTTGGGAAAAAACATTATTATACATTATGATGAGGAAGAGAGATGGAAGTATACAAAAGTATGTAGGTGCGTGAAAGACACTCGATTGTAGGATCCTATGTGGCAGCGTCTGAGTGTGACGGACAACGGGGTAAAGTAGAAGAGTGATAAAAGAGAGAGATGGCAGAACGGGCGCTGGCGCCTACCGCTTAGACGGATGCGCTCAACAAATGCGATTTGTTTTTCCCATTCGCAGAGTTGCCGATACCAATATGTCATATTTCTAAGAAATCTAAGTCTACCCAAATTTCGGGAAAAATAGCTGCGGATTTGTATTGTATTAATGTTTCATGGTTCAAATCATATTTTTCATGTTTGTATATTGTTGTATAAATGATTTTGTAATCCCTATTCTTGTTGCCAGTAGAAATACAACAGTATTGAGAGAAATCATGGACCGCTAGATAGGGCTACAACTACCACCATATGACTATCAAATAGTAGTGATAAACAGGCTTTGTTTATAGCACAGTTGCCTGGTGTGGCGAATTTGCGCCATAGGGGCGATTTGCCAACTTTTAAGGACAACTATAACGGTTAGTATGGTGCCCGGTATTCGGGAATCTGGCAATACCTGATGATTCCTAACGTTTATTACGCCAGATTGTTTGCTGACTTGCGCAGTACAACATGACAATCAACGTGACTGAGCACCTGGTAACCCTGGTTTAAGGTGTTATATTTAAAGAGCTTGGGGCAGGTATCTAGGTCACATTTTTTAATGTATTTCGAGAAAACCGTAATGTTGAGTAAATACTAGATCACGTTTCTTGCTTAGTTTGCTGAAAATTCTACAATAGACGTACATTTTGAGAAACAGAGATTTGGTGACGACAAAATCGTAAAAATATAACGCATTTTCGTCAAATAATTTCTTTGTTGAAAAGACTGTGGCTTGATGACCCATTGAACGAGTATAGTGTCCCGTTCCGCTTTGAATATTCGAAACACTATACTCCAGCAGCATTCAGCTTCAATGTTATCTTTATGAAGTTCTAACGTCTAGGCCATGCTGATTCAAAGCTTGAATGAATCAACACTTAACTCTAAATCCCCCACAATTCGGGAAGCTCTACTCAAATTGGCAACACAGCGTATCTGCCTATTATTCTCATTCGTGATACAGGTCTGCGGTTAATGGTAGGAAATATGTACGAATAGCGATGAAAGTAGACGAGCCGATGCGCTGTTGTCAAGAAATGATTTCCCATGTATAACAATGGTTTTTCCTAAGGTGTATATCAATAAAATCATTTGATATGACAAGTGCGGTTCATATATCTTCGATGACCTTCTCCCTCGTCATTTAAAATCAGGTGGACGTGTTCCTCCATTAATGATTTAATAATTTAACTCAATTTTCAGCAATGCGAAGACAAGACACATGATTTTTTAATTACATTGACATAAGACCTGTCACCCGCTAGTACCTCACAGATGTTAGGCGGGTACCCTTTCCACGTGATTTTTTGACATTCGGACGACGTCACATCCGTCTTCCCCTATTCCCGTTCTTCGCGAAATTTGAGTATCGGTTCCCGGTAGTGCACTGTGCTACACCATGGTCTCGCGAAGACATCATTAATGAGTCATGATAATGATAAGTGACAGAACTCTTATTCCCAAGGTCTTGAGATCAGGAAGAAAAGCACACTTTTGACGTTTCAGAAGGATTACGTTGTTCTATTTCCGATCGCAAGAAATATGTACGCCAAACAATTACGAACGCTAAAATTGTTACAGAGTAGTACAAATTGAGTACAAAGTATACTGTGTAACAATTTACGAGCACAGCCCTGATACTGGGCTGTCTGTAAAATTAGAAATCTACAGAGTGAAGAATCTAGTCATAACAGGGTTGATTCCTCAAAACAGGAAAACATTGCAGAACCCAAACGAAGAATCAAGCCACCAACACCCTGTAGTCTCCTGATTTTTTGCAAAGCTATGCCATAAAGATGTAGTCCCATGAGGTCTCTAAAATATGTATGAGTTTGTTGGTGGCAAAATTCTTCGTTTGGGTTCTTCGATTTTTTTCTGTCTGCCCTAAAGAGGATAAAAACTTGGCTGCGCTCCACTATGTTACAAGAGCGATTAGTGGGTTTACCCCTTTTGTATATGCATAGGGATATTAAAATAGACGTGAATACAATCATAGATCGGTTCGCTAGCAAGAAGAATAGGCGCCTTGATTTTGTAATGTGATAACCTGAACTCTTTGTAAATGTTGCGATGTCTGACTATGATATCATCTGATGTACTGAAACTTGGCTGCAGGCTGCAGTTCTTAGTTCTGAATTATTCACTGAAAAATACGTTGCAGTTAGAGCGGACAGAAATTTCTCTGCGATGGGGTGTACTAGAGGAGGTGGCGTCTTAATTGGTATTCGTAATCAACTTGCTGCATCAGAGGTAGATATGACTTTTATTAGAGATGATATTCCCAGTATTGACATAATTGGAATCAAACTTAGATATAAAAATGAAGTGACTTATTTCTTTGTAATATACATACCGCCTGACTCGAGTACTTCCTGCTATGAAAGATTCCTTGAACATCTAGAATCGCTTGATTACCTCTTTGGCAAAAGTATTTATATTCTAGGTGACTTTAATGTTTCCGAATTTGTTAATAAAAATCACCTCAAATCTTCTTACAAGCAGAAAACAATTCAGTCATTTATGGGTTTCTTTGATCTTTCTCAATTCAATGATGTTCAGAATGCAAATAACAGGCTATTAGATTTAGTGTTATCAAATGAACAATGTAGCGTCGTTAAGGCTTATTATGACCTATTACCTGAGGATGTTCACCATCCTCCGCTTGTTATGATAATCAACATGAGCTTCCATTCTAAAAACAGTATTAAACGCTCCGGAGAATCTTATAATTTCAGAAAAACCAATTTTGTAGCACTAGGTATATGAACAAATAAGCTTTGTTAATTGGATGTTTCCTGACAATTTAACAGATGTAAACGTAGCTTTGGAAACATTTTTTATAACATTTTCATAAAATGTTTAATATGTTTAATTTACCGGGTTACAGATGGTTTAAAAATGATTATTTTTCTGCTGCTGTTGGTTATCATCTGAGTAATGATGTCAGACTTGGTGCTTTTTTACTTTCTGATTTATGTAAACTTTTGAGTTTAACTCAGTATAACACTTACATTAACTCATCGGGGAATATTCTTGACCTGATCTTTTCCAACAGCAGTGATGTTTCTTATGAAATCGCTGATGAAGCTATTTTTGATTGTGATAGTTATCACTTACCTTTTAAAATAAATATCTCAGTGCCTAAAATTGATACACTGAAAACTTGCAATTATATTTATGATTTAAAAAAGGCAGACTATGTAGCAATTCTAAGTGAATTACACCGCCTGGATTGGACTTTATTTAATAACAACTGTGATGATGTTAATCTAAAGCTTTAGAATTTAATATTAATACTTTGATTAATAATTTTGTACTAAAGATCTTAATTAAGTCGAGTAATTTTCCTTCATGGTTCTCGAGAGATTTAGTTAATGCTGTTAAAGCTAAGAAAAAGTATTATAAATTATATACATAATATATCATTCTGATTACTATTACATGTTGTTTTCTAAAGAGCGTACCAATTGTGATATCTTACATACTAAAGATAAAACTAATTATATTAATAAACTTGAGAACTCATTAGCCGATGGTAGTCAAATTTTTTTTAATTATGTTAATTCTTTATGTAAATCAAAAGGTTATCCATCAGTTATGCATTACGGTAGTCAAACTGCTGATAATGGTAAAGATATTATTAACTTATTTGCTCAGAAATTTGGTGGAGTTTATTCAAATAGTAACTTGACAACAACTGAAATTGATTGTAATATTTATGATTGCTTGAGTTCAGTTAGATTCTCGATTGATGATGTTGCTAAATCTGTTGATAAATTAAATGTTGAATCAGGACCTGGGCCTGACAATATTCCGTTGATGATTTCTAATTGCTCGCAATTCCTATTACCGAAATTGACTGAAATTTACAATTTGTCATTGCAATCTGGTGTTTTCCCTTGCTGTTGGATAACCTCCTTCATCAAACCATTATACAAAAAAGGTGATACATCTGATGTCAACAATTATAGACCAATTTGTAAGCCTAATGTTTTAGCAAAAATTTTTGATCAGTTGGTACATGAAAAGCTTTCCTGTTATTTATCAAGGTTTATTATTACAAATCAACATGGCTTCATGAAGAATAAATCAACTATTACTAATTTAAGTTTATATACAGAAAATTTAGTTGATGCAATGAGCAATGGATTAGCGACTGATGCTATTTATACAGACTTTTCTTGTGCCTTTGATATAGTTAACGTTTCTTTGCTTCTAAATAAGCTTGAAGCTTACGGTATCAATGGTGCATTGTTGAAATGGTTAGAGTCTTATTTGACTGATAGAAAACAGTATGTCAAAATCGATAATCATATATCATATGTCATTGGCGTACCATTAGGAGTTGGCCAAGGTTCTCACTTGGGACCATTGCTATTTCTTGTTTTCATAAATGATATCAAATCTTGCATACGTCATTGTAAATTTTTGTTTTTTTGCTGATGACTTAAAATTATATAAAGTAATTAGATCTATTTATGATAGATACTTAGTGCAAATTGATATAAATTCTTTACTTATTTGGAGTATATTAACCGGCATACCTTTTAACATGAGAAAGTGTTATTTTATTACTTTTGGTAAAAGTAACTTACAAGATGTTGATTATAACTTTGACAACGTTGGGTTAGAAAAGTGAGACTCTATAAAAGATCTTGGTATCATTTTTGATTCTAAATTATCGTTTAATTATCATATTGAACACATTAGAAATTCAGCAATAAAAAAAATCAATTTTTTAAAGAGATTTACAAGAGATTTTAAAAGTATTAGCACCTTCAAAACTCTGTACTATTCTTTTGTATATCCAATTCTAAGCCATGGTTCTGTAGTTTGGAACCCTTATCTTAAATATCAAATAGATTCTCTTGAAAGAGCCAATCATGTCTTTTTAAGATATGTTGCATACAGAACTGGTATGCCAATGAATTTTACCGATCACAACTACACAAATATTTCAAACAAAATTATGATTCCAACGCTTGAAAGTGCTGTTTTATTTGCTTATAATTTATTTAATAACATTATTGATAATTTCAGTTTATTGTCAAAATTCAGATTTTATGTGCTACCAAGAATGTTTATTTTCATGTTATGCCACCTAAATCAGATCTGATAAATCATTCTCCTGTTTTTAGAATATCTAAACTATGTAATGAACACAGTAGCTGGCTTGATTTGTATTGTTAGAAATTTATCAAAGTCTATGTTTACATTTGAGTAGTCTTTTGATTTTGTAATATTTCAATTTATGATAACTAGATCATTGCATTTCCTCATTTGAACATCTGTATTAAATTTCGCTGATGATTATGTTAATCTCATTTGATTGGCTTATATACTATTTTATGTTACTGTTACCACATATGTAGCGCCACTTACGCGACGTTTGCGGTGCATTTTTCTATTTATAATACACATGTATAATGGGTTTGCTCGTAAGTTGAATAAATAAATAAATAAATAAATGTCTGTCCCTAGGACAACTCTCAAATCTGTCAAATTTCCAGTTTGGTTTTACAGTGAGATGATTAGAGACATTAAAAGAACAAAATTACAACACAAAAATTCTAAAAAGGATAAAAGTTTGATCACATAAACTGAGTTCAAAGACTTAAGGACCAAAATTAAGCGCGATGAGCGTAACGCATATCAAAAATATCTAGTAGATATCCAAAGTAGCTTATCTCAGGATCCGAACAAATTCTGGCCATTTATCTGTAATAAAAGGGGACAAAATTCCACAATCAGCCAAGTAAACTATAATGTTAATCTGTATGACAAATCCAATGAAATTGCTAATGCTTTTACGCTATTTTTTCAATCTGTACATACTATGCCCTCGAACGCAACAGATATCAATATTTCGGACTTGCATACTAACATTATAAAATAAATTTTCCTCCGGACCCGATGGAATTCCCTCATTTTTAGTGAGTGACTGCGCCTATATCTTAGCTCATCCCTTGACAAAGATCTTCAACGTATGTTTAAAGACTAACACGTTTCCTGAAATTTGTTGTGAGTCAAAGGTGCGTCCCATTTTCAAGAAGGGTGATAGACTACATGTTGAAAATTATAGACCGATAACCCTAGTATGTATCTTTTCCAAGGCCTTAGAAACTTGCTTCATAATTTCCTATACCACAATATACATTCCCAAATAAGTACTTCTCAGTATGGCTTTATGAAGGGTAGATCAACCATAAGTAACCTAGCCTGTGTTACTGTCAGTCTCCTCTGCATTAGATGCGAATAGTCAGGTGGATGTAATTTATACAGATTTTAGTAAAGCATTTGACAAACTTGATCACAGTATTCGATTAACGAAGCTGAGCTATTTTGGATTCTTCCCCAAGCTGTTATCCTTTCTTAAGTCATATCTATCAAGAAGAAAGCAATATGTTGAATATGAGGGTGTCAAACCCATTGAATTCTTCCCAACCTCAGGGGTACCACAAGGCTCCTGCTTAGGTCCTTTGCTTTTCATACTGTTCATAAACGATATTGTTAGCGACATCGACAGCAGCCACTTAATCTATCCTGATGATATGAAATTTTTTTCAATGT